TATAATTTAACAGAAAGTGTGTATATCTTGTCTTGAGAGTTCACTTTGTATTATGGTGAAATATGTATCTTCAGTATATTCATGTTTGGTTAGGTCAAAGGTCCATTTGCTAATTTCCATCCTTGTCTCTGGGTGGGGTGGTCCCTGTTAAGGAACCAGGTTCTGTTAGGCTAATTAATTAATTATCCTTCCAATGTGGTACCTCATAAGGATGTGATTGTGTTTCATTGGTAAATTACATTGGCAAAAGTTGTTGATTGTGTGAGGCAAAGTTGATGAATGTGAAAAGCACAACCTTTTGCATTTTTTTTCTGATTAGGCTGGGATATCTTTTTTGACAGAAAACACCAGGCATATCTACTTGCACTTATAGTCATGGATTTAGAAGACTGGTAAGCTAAATAATGAGACGGGTATGAGGTTGGCTGTTGAACAGGTGACATTAAAACAGTTCTGATCATTGATGGGGAATTAAGCCAACGAGGAGGACTTCTTGCAGAAGGCTTGCAACAGAGAGAAACTGCTATGTTTATAATAGGGTTAATCCATCCTCTAGTGGCTGTGTCATTGACAGCCACTAGAGGCGCTTCCACGCCTCTCACTGTGATTTTCACAGTGAGAAGACGCCAGCGTCCATAGGAAAGCATTGTGAATGCTTTCCTATGAGACTGGCTGAATGCGCGCGGCTCGTGCTGCGCATGAGCATTCAGCCAAGTAGGAGGAGAGGAGGCGGAGAGGAGGAGGAGAGTCCCCCGCCCGGCGCTGGAGAAAGAGGTAAGTTTAACCCCTTCCACCCCCTAGAGCCCGTCAGGAGGGCAACCCTGATGTATGTTTTCCTGGCACTATAGTGGTCCTTTAGGCAGAAGTTAAGAAGACTCTTAAAGTTTTGAGAAGGTTTTTTTTAAGTTATAATGGGTGGCCATTGCTTCAAACAGACAGATATAAAAATTGTAGTTCTTTTAAAATCATGTTGTAAACTCATCATTGAGAATTTTGGGGATGTGAAAAACACAATGTTTAGACAAAAAGCTAATTTAGTTTTAGAGTTAATGGCAATCTTAACAGAGAAATTAGAGTTGTTTCCAGTCCATTAAACATTTCTATCCTCTAGCTAACATTAGGACAAAGCCTGTATTGGCATTCGATCATGTACAGTAGAAACCTAAAGTGATAAAAGTGGTGGGGGAAACAGAATGTAATTCATTGTGTTAGTGACCCCTGCAGCACTGGTGTGATAATGCTTGTTTTTTAAAGTCTTTAAAAGATCAGTTTTTTTATAAACTGCACAAACTAAAAAGCAGTTCTCATGCACCAGCTCCGAACACTCTGTCAATGGTATATTCTAACCAATAGAGGTTTTTTCATTTTACACAAAACAATAATCACACAGGCTATCCGTTCTCTCGGCCAATGTTTAATATACTGTGTATTTTAAAAAAACATAGATGCTTATTTAAATGGTCCAACCTGTAACCCTAGAATGACTGATAGATTAGTGGTTTCCATACGGAGCACCAACAGTCCAGGTTTTTGTAAGTATCCCCATTGGAATAAAAAAGGTAAATACATAAATCTTGGACTCTTGAGGACTGGTTTGGGAACCACTGTGATAGATTCAACAGGTTTCCAGCATGTAAAGTCCTTAGTCTTCAATGTGGATTAGTTATTTATACGACACCCTCAAATATAGGAAAGATATAACAAATATACGTATTTTCTTAATTCATAGTTACAGGAAGGATATTGATCATAGCAGGTAAGAGTGGGACATATTGAAATTAAGCAATTCCAGTAAGATCTTTTAATTTTTATATGTTTATTCTTTATCTCAGTTTTACTCTTAATCTTATTTTTCTTTATAGATTCTTTTTTCTGGAGGTCAGCTTTCAGTGTCGTACGCCTTTTCTGACATTTTGTTTAGAAACAGACAACTTATATTTTAGTTTCAACCAGTCTAGGGTGTAAAGAGAGCCCTGCTCAAAAGTAGTGGTACATTAATAAGCATACTTTTTTATAAGATTTTAATTTGTATACATATACAATATGAACATTACAGCATTGTTATTCAAAGTATATCATGGATTGTCCTCTTCCCCATTTTTTTTTTGTACATTTATATTTTAAGACTGAGTACCAATACTGCATTGAACATGAAGTGATTGTCATACTGTTAAAGTCAAGATAAAATTACTGCAATTCCATGCAAATAATAACTAGTTACATATAGATTTAAGTTACTGATTGTTCAACCAAAAAACACAAGAATGATTTTCGATTTATAGAATGTAATTATTAATGCTGCACCGACTCCTCAACATTAAATTGTCCATCTAGTCACCCCCAAATGCCTCTAGGTCCCCCATTGCACCTTTTTTTTTTTTTTTTACTGCTTAGTTTCTTCTCCGGATCTATATCCTAGGCACCGCCATCTTAGTGTTCACTGGATGACGTCTACCGCAGTGCCTTCATCTGCCCACACTTGCTTGTGCTATAAAATTCCTGCATATGCCCAGTTGAACACTTGGACATTCACTTGTCCGAATTTTAGATCGGAATTTCTGCTATTCAGTTATTCGAACAGAAATTACAACAAGCAGAAATTGCAATTCGATCTTCATTTATTTTGTTTATTACAAGAAGGGAGCAACAGCACATGGCTCCCTCCTTGTAATATGCAAAAATAGAAGCAGCAGGGAACTGTGCTTTCTGCCACTTCCTACATATCCCCCATGCCATGCAGAAAATGGAAGCCCTAAGTAATAAAGGGGAGAACCTATTGTTCACCCCAGCTCCTTCCCATTAGCAGTGAGTGGGAGCCCTAATTGCTCATGGGGGGTCTTCCCCAGCTCCCACACATTAGCGGATCTAAATGATAATGGGGTACCCTCCTAACCCCCACCCATTAGTGGTGGGTAGGATCTCTAAGTAATAAAGGGGGTTGGGACATCTTGTTCACAACCAGCCCCCACCCATTAGCTTTTGGGGTCCTAAATGATAAGGGGAGGGGACCTATTGTTCCACCCACACCCATTAGTGGTGGGTGGGGTCCCTAAATGATAATGGGAATCTATTGTACTGTGATAACCCTCACCTAATTGTAAAATAATGTTCCCCAAGTTACTATTGGTCCCCAAACTCCTAGTCACCCCCCAGTGACTAGGGTTCCCAAACCCCTAGACATCCAAAATAAACAAATACCCAGCTCCCTGGGTGGTGGCCCTAAATAAAAATGTGGTTTCTCCCCCCAGCCCTTACCCATTTGTGGTGGGGGCCCTATGTGATAAGGGCGAGGAATCTATTGTTCCCCCCCTCAGCCTCCACCTATTAGCGGTGGGTGGGGGCCCTAAGTGATAAGGAGGAACCTATTGGCCACCCCAGCCCCACCCTTTAGTGGCAGGTGGGGGCTGCTGGTTATTAGGAAAAGGTAAATTCAGCATGACATTACTGCTTCAAAATAAGCATAAAATAAATGTGTATCAAGTAAAGTTTAATTTGGGACATTCATATTTATTTACAGGACTAATATGTTCCATATAATCCTACATAAATTTTAGCAGCAGAGTGGGCTTGTCTGCCTATAATTTTTTTTAGTACTGCCTAGTCAAAAGTTAATATTTGCTGCATTAAAAAACAATGCAATCTGGAACAATTGAGTTCTGTATAGAACAACTATAAATACGCTCGCAATCATACCAATGATCAATCAATGAGCAATCAAAGTGCCTCTAACAAGATGCAACACAAAAAATAGCACTTACACAATGCTGGAACAATCAGCTAATATTGAGTTCTAATTGTATTCTAAGATGTTCCAAAGCACATAGAATCTGACAACATATTTTTTTATTTTATTGTATATCTCTGCATATCAATTATGTCTCGCAGCTGGTCTTTCTAGAGAAATGAGTTGGAAAAATTATCTCATTTATTATATTCTACCAATGTTTTTGTGCTGCTGTATATCCTTGTTTTTTTCCATTTCCCATAGTATATATATATACACACACACACACACAATATACAAGATCCAGCAAACTCACTTATCCACTAAACAGCAACTTCGATGTTGACAGATTTTATTTGTTTGTTTTTTAAAACACCTTATCTAGGCAAAACTAATGGGGGTTTAGTTACGTTATATGATCATACATTGCATAAGCCTGCCACAACATCAATGAATCCCATATTTGGCAGGTCTTACTCTAACAGCCTAATGTCTGCTCTTATGAGATTAACCCACTTACTTGGGGAACAAATTCCATCTGGGGCTCTCACACACACATATATACACTGCAGAGAGCAAAAAAACAAAAATGTTATGGTGGGGGAAAAATTGTGATTGAAAACCCCTTCCACCTGAAGTCTGTGGATACTTAATACAATGTTAAATAAAAATCTGCACACCAGTCAAGCCATAAGACTTGCTTTTTTCAGAGAAATCATAAATTTGCAATGAATAACATTGTTAAACTAATTTGCATATGCCCACCCAGAATCCTTTGTGGTAGTAACATCACTGCAAATTTGTGATTTCTGTGGGAAAAGCAAGTCGTATGGCTTGACTGGTGTGCAGATTTTTGTTTAACATTGTATTAACTATCCACAGACTTCAGATGGAAGGGTTTTCCATCACAATTGTTTCCTCACTATAAAATTTTAGTTTTTTTGATTTTTGCTTCCCAAGCACTACCAAGCTTCAGTTGCAAACCAGTAATCAACCTCAAGCTGATGATTTGCATTAACAATGAAACAGCTGTCCATGAGTGGTTCACTGGCTTTGCATCTTTTCCTAAGTTGTGTTTCAAAGCTGTTGTATACAGCAAACACATACTCAAAGGAATCCATGTTTAAAATGGAATGAGGCAAAAATGTGATTCTTTGTTAAACTAATTTGCATATGCCCACCCAGAATCCTTTGCGGTAGTAACATCACTGCAAATGTGTGATTTCTGTGAGAAAAGCAATTCTTATGGCTTTTTATTTAAAGGGACACTGCAGTCACCAGAACAACTACAGCCTATTGAATTTGTTCTGGTGAGTAGAATCATTACCTTCATGCTTTTTGCTGTAAACACTGTCTTTTCAGAGAAAATGCAGTGTTTACATTACAGCCTAGTGATAATTTCACTGGCCACTCCTCAGGTGGCTGTTAGAGATCATTCCTGGGTCATTGCTGCCTAAAATGCATCACAACATTCAGTATCTCCGCCCTCTGCATGCAGACACTGAACTTTCCTCATAGAGATTCTTTGATTCAATTCATCTCTATGAGGAGATGCTGATTGGTCAGGGCTGTGTTTGAATCATGTTGGCTCTGCCCCTGATCTGCCTCTCAGCCAATCCTAAGGTGAAGCATTGTGATTGGATCAGGCCACCACTTCTAATGATGTCAGCAGACAGTTTGTTTTTCTGAGGTAACAGCATGCAGATCTACAGCTTCAGGCTTAAATACAGTAAGATTTTGCTATATTTATGGAGGCATGAGGGGCCCAGGGGGGCTAGATGGTGGTTTTAACACTATAGGGTCAGGAATACATGTTTGTTCTCCTGACCCTATAGTAATCCTTTAATGCACACATATATCTTTTGTATTATACAGCCATGTTTCAATTCCCATCCCATGCACCCTATTAAAGAGTTGATACCCGTCTCTGTTTCATTAAAGATTTTGCATTTTATCTGAAAGCATCAAGGTGAATTGTTAGTGTAATCTAAGAGATTTTCTTGGATTCATCAGGTAAGCTTACACTTGAATGGCCATTGATAGTGGGATAGTGGTATAGTGCGCAGATAGCTTTTTTTGTTTTCTGTTTAACTATGTATGTATGTACGTACGATTACTGTACTCATTGCTCTTGCCCAGGAGTAGTGGGAGTTTGAGCACAGTGATTCATAATGTTTTCATGATGATCATTCTACACAATACTATAGGCTGTACCTGCAGTACTGGCAGTAATGGACCCTATGGTTCAGTATAAAATTTAATTAGTGATTGTTACAGCACAGGTGTATTTGTAAGAATGTAATGCAAACTAAAAAATAAATTTAAGGTTTTCCAAATGTTTTTATTTTTTTATTTTTAAGTAATCCTCAATCCAATAAATCTATCCATCTTCAGTAGAAACATTTCCTATCTTATAAAATTCCCTTTACATTAAAGAAAATGCATCTTTACATAGCTCATGTATACTATTCTTAAGAAAAATTATATGTATTTTAGGTCCGCTGAGATACCAGAGCCAGTAAAGTGTCTAACAAATGCTACTGTCTATTGATTCCTGATCTCTCATTCCATCACTTGTCTCGCGCCTAATATTGTTACTTTTATATGAGAAACAGTTTGTCACCATAGTTTCAGTTGACAGACGTAGGACTATTTTTAGAATTCATTCCAACTGCCATTTTATTTGTAAGCCAAGAAAATGCTGCCAATATTATTCTCCACAGGAATTTTTTTTTACATTTCTACAAATATTTTCATGACTGTTTGGCTTAGCTAAAATTAATATAGAGACAGACAGGCAGACAAGCATAAGAGAGAGACAAAGACAGACAGGCAGGCACACAAACTGTAGGTTGGATGGATGGACAGACTAATGGGTACAAGCAAAGTTACAAATAAGCAGGGCCGGTGTTACCATAAAGCGGCAGAGTTGGACCCCTTAGAGTACACCGGCCCAAGGGTACAATCTCTGGGTGACCAGTAGGAGGGGAGCACACAGCGGGACTAGGGGGAAGAAAGAGACACACAAAGATACTGGAGAGGAGAAATTGAAACACAAGAGGACTACGAGAGAAAGAGAACCACAAAGGAGCTGGGAGATACACAAAGGAACTGTGGTGGGAGTGACACACAAAGGGTGCTGCGTGGGGAGAAATTGACACACAGAGGGACTGTGGAAGAGACGTACTTAGGGACTGGGGGTGAAAGACACACAAAGGTGCTGTGTGGAGTAAGAGGGTGCAGTGTGGGGAGATAGTGACATAAAGGGGCTTGGTGGAGAAACTGACACACAAAAGAACTGGGGAAGAGACACACATAGGGACTAGGGGTGAAAGGCACACAAAAGGCCTGGGTGGAGTAAGAGACACACAAAGGAGCTAAAGGGAAATGAAGAAATCCAAAAAGGGAGGGAGTAAGAGGCACACATTGGGGGGGGTGGTTTATAAGAGACAATCATAGTGGGGGCGTAAGAGACACAAGGGGGTATAAGACAAAAGGGAGGATAAGATACACTCAAGGGGGGTGTAAGACACAAATGGTGGATAGGATACACTAAAGGGGTAAGACACTCAAAAGAGGGGGTTAGAAACACAAAAGGGGCTACATAAATTGAAAAGAGGGGTTAAGAGACACACAGGTAAAGATGGATTGGGGGAGCGACAAAATGCATCTCTGCTTGTGTAGCTAAAAATTCCTGGCCCTACACATAGGCATACCTCCCAAAATTAGTAAAACTTGCCTTCACATGCAGGAGCGGTATTGAGCACACTACCCAATTCTTGAACAGCCTGATGGGGATGTTAGACTTCCCATTTTACCTAATTTGGAAGGAAGGTGAACCTAGGCAGAGAAAACATAGGTAAATGCCAAAGATGTAAAGGTATATTTTTACAGACAGCTTCTGTATACCTATATGAATGTAGCAACTTAAGAGATATAGTGTATTGTAGATCATGCTAACATAGTGTGCCTATAATCTTAATATTAGGCCAATACCACAGGAAACGTAGAACTGAATCCACATCCTAGAGATGAGAATATTTAGGTGCCGGAGGTCTGGACAACTAAATGCCTCTTAGAAGGGGACACACCAGGGGGTCTTGCCCTACTTGAACGCCTTGGTGGGGAACGTGAGCCACCGAGATAGCAAAGCGTACCACGTTAATAGATCAGTCAGACCACCCTATGGAAACCAGATGAGACAGGTTCAGAATGACTGGGATAGGTGTTGTAAAGGGATCGGAATCCCTCTACAAAGATCAACTACACCAAGCATCCTAGGCGGAGATGTAACATCTCCTAGTGCCAGGAACCCAGGAGTCCCATAGAACATCTTTAACCTCTTGTGATAATCCATTTACCATCCAGGATCCCACGGAAATTGTTCAAGCCACTAGATCCATTCTTTCTTCCACCATTAGAGGGCGCGGCTCCCCGCGGGCCCCAAGAGAAGAAAGGGAGGCGAGGGCAGTAGAAGTGGAGGGTTGTACGAGAGTTCCAGTAAATCCGGGAACCACGGTTGGCTCTGCCACAGGGGAGTGATGAGTAGTAGGGACACTTTGTGTAGCAGTGTGTGGTAGAGTACTCTTGCCAGCATGGAGAAAGGTGGGAAGGCATAGGATCCCTGATTCGGCCAAGGCTGAAGGAATGCATCCACTGCTTCACATTCTGAATCCGGAAACCAACTAACTAATACCTCTGGATTTGATGGTTGTTCCTGGAGGAAAATAGATCCACCAGAGGCTGGCGTCTAATTCTACCACAAAGTCGGAGAGGGGCCAAATATCGCCTTGCCATTCCAGGCTTGCATGTGTAGTAACCACCAGAGGAGTTCTGACTGCATATCCTCTGAGAGGGGTATCCAATGATCATATGAGTGACCTGCTCTTAGGTAGGTCGCCTTCAACCATGGCATGGTCCGGTAGTGTAGGGGGCCTGGAAAGATCGCTTGAATAGAGGAGGAGAGAAGACGCAGGGGAACGAAATATTTGCATATCACCTTGCATTTCAAATTGCGGTGATCTTTGAGGTTGGCAGGCGTAGGACGCATTTCACGGAGTCCATCTCGAAACCGAGGAAATTAATGGTGCCGACTTTTGTCTGTTCACCACAAAGCCTAAGGACTCTAGAAAGTGAATGGCAATGTGCGTCTGAGAGTGCAGTCTGGACCCTGCTTTGCAGAAGCTTAGAAAATCGTCAGGGTAAATAAGGCAACGGATGCCCTTTGCTTTAAAGTGTGCCACGATCAGCTTCAGTAGCTTCGTGAAGCACCACAAAGCTGAGCTGAGGCTGAATGGCAGACACATGAACTGGCAAGCCCGTCGACTCCAAACCCTAGAAACTGTCGACTCTCTGGTGCGATAGTCACTGAGAGATTTGCGTCTTTGAGGTCAAATCGGGTGAACCAGTCGTTAGCCAGAAGAAGGTCCTGAAGCAGGTGGATGCCTTCCATTCTGAAGTGCCGGTAGACCACATAGCCATTGAGTTGACTGGTCGATAATCTACGGTCTTTTTCTTGACCAGGAAGAGGTTGTTGAAGAATCCGCTTCCATCCAGAGTGAATTGGACAGCCCATTTGTCGAAAAGGGAAAGTATTTCTTTGTCCACCAGGCGACTGTGTTCCTTTGACGTGTGTAGTGAAGGTGGGCGGGAAGTCTGAGTGGGTCACATATGAAATCCGATTGTGTAAACTTGAACAGCCTCCAGGACCCACGCATCCGTGGTGATGACCAATCAGTTTTGAAAAAAAAAGGAACTACCTGCCTGCAGTAACAGAGGTAATGGAAGCAGACCATGCAAGGCTCACTTGTCGTTAAACAACCCCGGCCTAGTCCTCTAGTGCCTTTTGCTCTGTCCGAGCCTCTATGGAATGATGGTCTTGATGAGGAAGTCGTGAAGAATAAAAACTGCAGATAGGACCTGTGGCCCATGGACCAGAAAAGGCTGGTGGCTAGGCCCTGTTGCTGACCAGCCCTCCCAAAAACACCTCTTATGGGTGTGCAACGGAAGACTTGTTTCAGCAAAGTTTGTGCCTTGTTCAAGGTATTGAATAAATGATGTGTTTCTTCAACTCCGCAATGAAAGACTCAATGAAGAGAAGTCCGTTCGTCAGAGGTCCTAGTTCCTTGGAGCCTGGTCTAATAGCTTGGAATCGATTCTCAGAAGTGCTGACTTCGCCTTTCTGAGCAGAGCGCTGCATTAGCATTTCCCAACATGCATATGGCGCGTTGGGCCCACTCCTACATGTCGTTGGGATCCTAGCGTCCAGATCGCGATAATATCGATCTACGAAAAACATGATGGTCGCCGTGAAAGTTGCTGTATTTGCGAAAGCCAAGTGGCCACTGCACGCACGCAACGTTTGGTGCAGCCTGCAGTTGCGGACCCGCTGCAGACCATGAGTATACTGCACTGGCATCCCCACCACCCTCTGAATCGACACATAGTCAAGATGAAGAACCGGCGGATATTCAAAAT